TAGATCAGTTAAGAATCGTCTGAGCAACTTAGACTCTACGAATTGCCTTTTTGAAGATTCAAATATGGTCCATTGAAACATGGCAATGTAAACACGCTGTATGCTTATCAGCGTGAAGTCACCGACTTGGTCTGGAATCAACTCGCTCCGAGTCAACTCCGTCTCAGGTCAACTTGGTCCCAAGTCAACTAGGTCTTGTCAACTCTGGAAGGCAGGCACACGGCTGCAGCATGAATTTAAAAAAATCTTCCAAGCTAGTTTTGACACTCTTTAGCATACCAGTATTAAAGTACACGTATTTCCAGAATTCTAAAATTGCATACATGTTCTGTTCATGTAAATGTACTGACATGTGCATGAGATGCCTGGCCTTGTAATTTTGGAAGGCCAGGCACTTGGATGTATCATTAATTACCACAGTTGAGAAGGCAAAGTCCCAGTCTTTCTTGCTAGACTGACAAACTTTGGCATATAAGTATTTCTATGTATGCTAACATTGCATATTGACACATTTAATAGTCCGATACTGACATGTGCAGCTATATATGCGCAATGCCCTTGGCTGGTTCCCTGTCCAGTCACACACTGCTTGCAGCAAATCATTGTTAGCGCAGCTCGCACTCTGTGACGTGACACAAAAGTCACGAAACACCTGTCAGTTTTGTGCAAGCGTGGCAAAATTCGCCCGGAGTGGGAAAACGGCAACAAAAAGGCAACATATTTTCCTCCAAACGAGGAAAAGGCGTGTTTTTTGCAATTGGCAACCCACTTGTAGGAACCTAGGGGATAGTTTACTCCGAAAGTAGTGAACATACCGCAGGCAAACGCTGTCTCAGTTCAAGGTCAAAAATTAAAAGACACAGTCCTACCCTGTGTTTCTTGACCTGAAACAGTGTTTGCCCTGTTGGCCAAGCTACATCAAACACAACGTGGTCTATTGCGTACGATACTGCACGTACTGTGCACTATGTACAAGTACATGTAGATTATACATGCATCATTCTGACGATAACATCATCCAATCAGCCTGGGAGCGCGAACAGCCAGAGGGGATTTTTGGGGGGGCGGGGAAATGCATGATCTTTTTTGGGGGTGGCGGAGAAATGCATGATCTATTTATTCTTTTTACGGTCACAGTTACTGGGGTAAACATTAAATTTATGATGTTTTTGAAATGGTTGCGTATTTATTGCTATTTTGAAATACTTCAAGCGAACTAAATCGTTTTTATTTCAATAACCCTTTAAAGGTTATAATGTTATCTATTGTAACTGAATGAATTCAAAGTTTTTCAGCAAAGAGGTTTAGCAGTGATGCATGAGGAAAGTCAATGGGTATCCATACATACAAAATAGCACTGCTACAGTGATGTCACATACTGTGTGCACCATTCAAAGAGACATGTAATGCAGGCCCAGTGACAGAAATACACCTATACAATTCTAGGTGGTCTTAAACTTTTGCAAATGACTGTAGTTCAGAGTTCCCATTCCTTGCATAATGTAGCCACATACATGTACATGTAGTGTGGCCATGATACTCAGTGAAGCAGCTCAGCAGAGACAAGTCAACTTGTTCCACATTACTGGAGTGTGGTTTTCTGCTTGAATCCTGTCTGCTGGAGTCAGTGATTGAAGTCTGAGTGTACATGTTCTTATACTGTAAGTTCTGTTTGGCACACTGTGCTGGTGAATGCTAAAAAAGGCGGGTTATTTTGGACCTTGTGACTTAAAGAGTAAAATGATTGCAGTTGCTCCATGTATCAATCTCTTTCTTGAGTATGTGTGGTTCTGAGAAGAACCAGGGAATAACTCGACGTTTCGAACAGTGTACTCTGTCCGTCTTCAGGAGACTGGAGGATTCTGGTTGGTTGGTTAATGTCATGTACGGCAACATAAATGCCATCAGAATTAGACATGCACACAGGGGCTGTCATGTCATACATACATGTCATGCATGTAGTACTAGCTACTGCTATTTGTATTCGTGTGCAGTGTGAGTTAGACGTTGAAGCTCTGTTATGTGGACGATCGAAAACTCGAGGAATCGATACTGAAAGCTGCATGATTTTGGAAGGTACCAAAAGAACAGGAGGGGGAGACAGGAAAATAGGGGGGGGAGCTTGTGATCCTCCAGACACAAGGTGTTAAAGTGCCCTGCGAGGTCGGGCCGTGTCCCATGCAGTTTAAGGGCCCGGGCCCCGCTCAGCTGATTTGCTGGCCCGCAACACCTCCAGGTGACGAAGTACATGTATGACACCATGTCCAGCCAACCACTTACACCGTCCCTTCTCAAGAGTTTACGCAATATCAGGCAAAACCTGAGGGTGCATCAGAAGAATTATACATCAGTATTACAGTTCTGAATTTATTTAATAATGTGGTGAAAGGTCTGTTTTTTCCCAAGAATTTGGGGAAGATTTGTATGTATTTCAGCCAGGGTAAGAGATTTTTGGAGGATTTGTCTTTGTGAAACATATTTTCGACAAGTAAGGAGAACGTTATCAACTCATCCACAGATATCACAAAGACCATTTGGGTGTTAACCAATCTTATGAAGGAAATCGTAATCGGTGTATGGCTACTTCCTTGGCACGATTCATTGTCCAGTTTGGGAATAAGAAGGAGACATCATTGTTAATATTGTTGGTATGTTTTGAGATTGATGTATTCCAGTTATTTGTAAGTTTCTCTTTAAGAGTGTGTTTAACTTCATTAATCGATAAAGGGATGGAAAGATCAATATTGTTTTTCTTGGTCGCGTTTTTAGCAATCTGATGAGCCTTTTCATTTCCTGGTATAGAGTACCGAAGTGTGACGTCACTGTAAACCAGAAAGTGCAGTGCAAACGAATGGAGTACGTGCCCGTATTGGTTTACACGCTAATGCCTTTTACACGCTAATTGTGCATGTGACATATTCACTTTGGTACTCAATGCCGCAGTGACCGGGGATCCATTCAAAGGGAACAGTGTTCCCTTGATTGCCGATATTAATCATGGTGTAGGGAATATCGCAAACAATTTTATCTGTGGGGAAAGTTTATCGATTGCCTGCAAAGCACTAAGACGGTTACTAAAGATGCCACTTTGTAATGGTTTGGAGTCTTCAATCCATTCTAATGCAAGAAGAGTGTCAAACAGTTCTGCGGAAAAAATGAACTAATGAACGCTAAGACCCAAGTCAAACCACCGTTAGCAACTGAACTCACGCTGCAAGCGAAGCTCCCCAAACTGCCGGCATTTAGCGATGGAAAAGATGAGCTAGACGCATATTTGAAACGTGGCCAAAAGAAGACTAGGCAACCTCACTTAGTGCGTTACTCACAGGTAGGGCCTTGGAGGTGGACGCACGTATGCCTAGTGCTGCAGCTAGAGATTATGATGCTGTGAAGAAGGCACTGGCACATTGAATAGGTACCTTTTTGAGTGAGGAAGGATTTAGGATCAAGTTTAGATCTGCCAGACCAGAGTTTGCTGAGACATATACCCAGTTTGTAGATAGAATTTCAGGGTATCTGACATGATGGATCGAAATTGGAGGTGTAGCTAGGACGTATGAAGCTTTGTTTGAACTTATTGTGCGGGAACAGACTATGAAGGTTTGTAGCAAGGAGATGGCTCTATTCCTTCAGGAGAGGAAGACAACGAGTTTAACTTGTAGCATTGGCAGATCGCTGTGCAGAAGCGCACAATGATCGTTATCACTTCAACTGTAAGCTTAGTAGTAGTAGTAGTGGTAGAAATAATAGGAGGAGTAGGCCACCAAGCGTAGCAAACTCAGGCACTGCACAACGTGCCAACTTGGGCAAGGAACAAATAGAACAACTTAGAGCAGAACGTACATGTAGATGTTTCCAATGCGGCAAATATGGACATATTGCATGCAACTGTCAAGGTCGCGATCGCCAAAGTAATAGCGCACGCAAGAAAGGTGCTAGTTTAGTTGTGCAAGATGTACAGAATAAGGACTTAGATGAGACCGCTTAACCTCCAGCAAGC